AACAGCACCCAGGCCCAGAATTCAGGCCCTACAACCAACAAAGAGAGAGAGAGAGAGAGAGAGAGAATTTCCTTCAAATGACATGTAAAATGATGACCAACAAAGCATTAGCAGGAAAATAAAGTTAACTTTTACTTTCCTATCATTTATCCCAGCCTAGGACTTTAGAAGTGTGGACAAAAGGACAGCTAGCTTCTAGAAAAGGAAAAAGCATGTGCTTTTTTGTGTCATGATTTTTTTCAGTAAACAATTATCTATTATATGTGATCTTCCATCACCAAATATTTATTCTACATATAGTGCCCTTCTGAAGTGTTTTATAAAAGTGCAGTATATTTTTAATAGCATGATTGAAAATCAGAAGACAAAGATATGATTGAGTCGATTTCACTTAAATCTAAAAAAGAAAAAAAAACCTACTTCTAATTCCTACATATTCTCTCTCCCTGCAATTAAGAAAAGAGGCAGGTTGTATTCCAGGATGTAACTAATCTAAAACTAGGAAACTTTAGGAAAATTTCAACATGATTTATAAAGAGATTTAGTAGCTTGGTTCTTATTAACATAGTAACAAACACACACACACATATATATATATATATGTCTACATATATGTATATGTATGTATGTATTGGCAGGTCTGTAAACCTCCAGACAGTTTTTGTGATATAAGAAACTAGTATTTAACCATTAGTGCTGCCATCATAATTTCATTAGTGTGTCTTTACACACTTTCTCCAGTGACGCAAATACAGACATGATTTTTTGGAACATCAGACTTATGGCTGCTTTTTCTCTTCTTCATTACTTATGTTGGACAAAATGCCATTATCACTTGCCAAAAAAAATCCCACAGTTCAGTAGACTTCAGTTTTGAGGTCTCTCATGTCCTTCTTAGACCACCAGTAGCTTTGTCTCTTGGCGATTAGAAATTGGAGACTTCTTTTCCATGTTCAACAAACCAGAGACTGTTACTTGATGTCTAAGGAGGAATATAACAAAACAACACATTTTTGAAGCAACATCACTGGAAATGTAACAGCAAATCCCTTTAGAATACATCCTTTGCAACACGGACAAATTAATCTTTTTTTTTTTGTCAATCAAGCTTTATGAGATTTGTATTAAGGTGTGATACTATGTCTGATGGGTTAAAATATTAGAAGTTGTACCTTCGTCCATATATAGAAATGACTAAAAAGCTCACTGGATTTTTGAGATACATACACTTCTGCTGTAACCAGCTATATAGTTAAGAACAGAATCATAGGTTACCAATCAGATTTCTATTATTATTTTATTGTAACTAGTTCTGTGAAACAAGTTACAGTGGAGAATTTTTCTGATTCCACCAGTGTCCCTGTTCTTCATTTCTACTTTTCTATCCATCTCCTCCCCTCTACCCCATACACACTTTCTTGCTGTGTTTTAGGAAACATGCTTATCCTCATTTTTCTTCCCTACATGTTTTTGGGTTTTGTAATTTATTTGTTTAACCACATGATGTCCTCTCGATTATGCTAATGTATGATAAATAAATCACATAGGCAAGTTTGTAGAAAGACCATGTACCATCAAACCATAGTAAATTGAAGCTGAGATGTTTGTTTTTTTATATATATATAGATAAGAACTCTGACATCAACTCTACTCTTTTCCCCTTTTATCCTTAGCACTTCTGTGCTGGAGTATTTGTTTAATTAATTGTTTCAAATTCCTAACTTTCCCTCTGGTATCCTAAATAGTTGAATAACATTTAATTATTAAGTTAAACTCCTGTCATTTAAGTAGTTGGCTTACTTCTCTATTATTAAAAGTTAATTTTGTTATTAAGTACATTTTATTTTAAAATCTATTTTGCTTAAATTTTAGTTCTAACTACTTAAAACATAGTTTTTTTTCAAATTTTTTATTGTTATTAAGTGGTTACATAATTTCCCAAATTTCACAGTATTGTGGGATAATGATGCTTCTTTAAAGTCACAAACACATTCTAACTTTCATGGAGCAAATTGTCTATAACATTTATGAGTTCTATGAGCTTTGCAATAGAGTTATTTCTTCCATATTGGATGATATTTTCTTTTTGTTTGTTTGTTTTGCATAGCATCAGCTGTTCCCTCTTTCCCACTTGTTTCCTCCCTCCCATCACTGCCATTGAGTTGCTTAGTTCATTTTGGTCAATGTCCTGTGCAGCTGATGGGTCCCGCTGTTGTATGTTTTTCTCTGATTCCCTCTAGTTCTGTGTTGTCCTCCTTGTTCCCCTCCGGTGTGCACATATATACCATGTATGTGATCAGCAGCATGGGGTTATTTAGTAGTGATTCGACCAGATGAGTGGAAGTCCTTTGTTTCTTAAGTCCTGATAATTTTGTCGTATCACCTAACATTTTGGATTTAACATCCACTTATCAGGGAGACCATGTGCCATTTGTCTCTTTGCTCTTGGCTTACCTTGCTCAACATGATTTCTTCTAGCTCCATCCATTTCCCTGCAAATAAAACATAGTATAGTTTTAATCACTTCCTCTAATCCAAATATAATTCTGTTGATTTTGGATTGACCTTGATTTTTAAAAATGATTTGTCTTTAAACTTTTAAGTTATACCAAAGGCCCAGAGTTTTATCTTCTACATTCTATATCTTTTTTTTTTTTTTTTTTTTTGGGTCCGGTCATGGGGCCTCAGCTCTTCAGCTCAAGGCTAGCGCTCTACCACTTGAGCCACAGCACCACTTCTAGCTTTTTTCTTTTTGCTTATGTGGTGCTGAGGAATCGAACCCAGGGCCTCAGGCATGCAAGGCAAGCACTCTACCACTGAGCCACCTTCCCAGCTCCTACCTTCTATATCTTCTAATACAATAATTCACATTTCAGTGATTTATAAAAGTTGCCTTGTGGGGCAACAGCTGTTTCTGGGGTATCGTTTTAGGGAGAATTTTATGTGGCTGCTATTTATATTCATCCATGTAACATTTCAAATATATTTAAATATTAAGTTTTTATTTTTACCTGAACTTTCCTGATTCATACTATCAAATACAGCAGTCATGAAGGTAATATGAGCACTGCCTTGTTTTCACTGCATCTTCTGAGTGACCTATAAATTTGAGAGGAACATGCTGCTTCTCAACTAACCTGGCAAGCTATAAGAGGGCCTGTAGACCTTATCTCCTCCACAGCTAAAATAAATGATTATGAGTCTTCCTATTATTGTCTTTTCTGGAAAAACATTTTTTGTTTTGGTCAGTCATGGGGCTTGAACTCTGGGCCTGGGCACTGTCCCTTAGCTCTTCAGCTCAAGGCAAGCACTCTACCACTTGAGCCACAGCGCCACTTACAGTTTTCTGGTGGTTAATTGGAGATAAGAGCCACCAGCGCCCAGCAAATAACAATTTTTTGAAGTAACGTTTTCTGAGCCAGGAGCCAGTGGCCCACGCCTGTAATCCTAGCTACTCAAGAGGCTGAGATCTGAGGATCATGGTTTGAAGCCAGCCAGGCAAGAAAGTCTGTGAGATTCTTAAATAAATGTATATATTACATATTGTATGTTTTATATATGCATATATATACATATATTTATAAAATCTTCGAGTAGCTATACAAACGAGTTGGCATTCATCAAAGCAGTTCTGTACCCCAGGTTCCAAATTGAATACCACAGCTGGCTAGTGATATAGGAGGAAAAGGTGTTTTATAACAATAGAGAAGAGGTTATTTGTTCCTGTGTGGGTCTTGCTTGGCTTCCTCCTTCTGCAGCCTCAGCCCTGCAAGCTGTAAAAGGGTACGTGCGTCTTTTTCACGTCCAAAATAAGTGATTATGATTCTTCATGTAAATGTGGTTTTTGAGCAACTTTTTTATTTGTTTGTTTTGGTTGGCCGTGGCACCTGAACTCTGGGCTTGGGCACTGTCCCTCAGCTCTTCAGCTCAAGGCTAGCACTCTACCACTTGAGCCACAGCACCACTTCTGGCTTTTTCTGTTTATGTGGTGCTGAGGAATCGAACCCAGCGCCTCATGCATGCAAGGCCAAGTGCTCTACCCTTGAGCCACCTTCCCAGCCCCTTGAACAGCTTTTTAAAATTATAAAACACTTATTTTTGGAAATAAAATTTTCTCAACCAAAAGATAAAGAGATTTTCTGTGATGAAGAGATGTGAGTACAAGGGTCCCATCCAATGACCCAAACCCTCAAACTGAACACAGCACATTAGTGTTTTCTCATCCTTGGAGATGATGTGAGAAGAGGGAGTTAGCAGAGGTTTGAAGTCTTCTCTCCCTAGAGATTTACTAAGTGAGCTTTCATAAGGGTTTATTTATTCATCAAATCAGTTTCCTTCTCAAATTAGTATTTCTTTTTTTTTCGAATTAGTATTTCTGATGTACCTTTTTCTTACTGGTTTGATATTCTTAACCTGGATGCTGCAACACACATATTATAAATGTTAGTATTATTCTATTATTGTCATTGCTCGCATTGTACAGGTATTGGAAAGATGTATGATGTAGTACTGAAGGGTCTTTGAATTTTATGTCTAAGATATCCAAATTGAATTGGACCATTTATTTATTTAAAAACATTAACATGGATATACATTGTTGTTTTATTTTAAAAAAAAAACAAAAAACCTTTGAAATCTTTGTGTTTGTTTGAAAAGATTCTTATTTCTACTTCAGCTAAACTTTTAATCATTTGAGTTTTCAATGTATTCTTTTAGTGAATGGACATGAATGTAATCCCTGCTTTTTATACAGCAGAATTAGTAGTGAATAAACTCTAATAGTCCAGTTTAACCTAATATGGTATTAGATAGTACTGATTTTACTCAATCACTATAAAATGTATGCCTGATTAGGTGATTCAAGTGTTTTTTGCACATGCTAATGTAAAAGCAAATTAAAATCTGTATTCGGTAATAAAGCATCTTATTTCAGATGTATGTGGCAACAGTGAAGAAAGTACTTTTAATGACTGAGTTACTACTTTATGTCTTTTGCTTAGGGTGTTCCAGTGATGGCAATAAGAAACAAAATGATATCAGAAGGACTAGATCCAGATCTTCTTGAGTAAGTAACTCTCACATAATCATACTACACACACACACACACACACACACACACACACACACACACAGACACACACACACACACACGGTACTCTCTCTTAAGGATGTAAAATATGGCATGCTTCTCTGCCGAATATCCAATCCCTCTACCTGCTTCTGTTTATGTGTTACCCTCTGGCCAGCCTAAGCCTACGTTCAGTATAATTCAGCCAGCAGTGTTCTCATTAGCAACTTGAAAAGCCTCTTTAATTGCCCTCGTCCTTATTACCTCTGTGTCAGTCACTGTCCTCCTCTCACTTTTAATATCCCTTCATACTCATTGCTCTTATTCCTGGCTCTCACCATTTCTCACCTGAGTTATTACGTTAGCTCCTGATTTGTGTTCCATTCTCTTTCTTTTTTAACTTAATTTTATTGTCAAGGTGATGTACACAGGAACTTAATTTTATTGTCAAGGTGATGTACACAGAAGTTACAATTACATACATAAGGTAGTGAGTACATTTCTTGTCAAACATTGTTACCCCCCGCATTTTTCTCCAACTTTCCCTTCCTCCATTCTCTTTTGAGCCATCTACTAAAGCCTGAGTAGATGTCTTTGTAAAATTTTTTTATATTTATGTTCTTTCTTGCTTCATATTATCTGTGACTCTGCAAATATAGCCTAACATCTAAAAATTATATATAAATACTTTTGCCATCAAGTCCAGAATTTGCAATTTGCAGTCTCTCTCTCTCTCTCTCTCTCTCTCTCTCTCTTGTTGTTGTTGGTCGTGGGGCTTGAACTCTGCACCTGAACTCTGTCCCTCAGCTCTTCAGCTCAAGGCTAGTGCTCTACCACTTGAGCCATTGCGCCATTTCTGATTTTGTGAGTGGTTTATTGGCAATAAGAGTCTCATGGCCTTTCCTGCTGGTCTGGCTTTGAACGCTGATCCCCAGATCTCAGTCTCCTGAGTAGCTAAGTTTACAGGCATGAGTCACCAGTGTCCAGCTCAGTCTGTCTCTTGCTACTCTCCATGCGTGCCTATCCCATTCAGAGCAAACAATTTGCTGTTCTTCGACGGTATCATCTTTCTATTCTCTTTTGATCTCTAAATATTAGTTTTATTTCCTCTCTGTAGAACTTTCTCCTATCTTTTTGGCCTAGCTGTGTCCTTGGTATTACTACCTTAAGAAGTTTATAGGCTAAGGACGCTCACACTAGCTACTTAGGAGGCTGAGATCTGAGGATCATGATTCAAAGCCAGCCCAGGAAGAAAAGACCATAGACTCTTATCTCTAACAAACTACTCAGGAAAAGTTGGAAGTGGTGCTGTGGCTCAAGTGGTAGAGCACTAGTTTTGAGCACAGAGGCTCAGGGACAGCATCCAAGCCCTGAGTTCAGTCCCCACGACCCACCAAAAAAAAAATTGTATAGGCGACTAGCAATGGGAGAATGCATTCCCGACTCTTATATCTCAGTTAGCAAGTTTGAGGGTATGTCATTGTCTATAAATGTTTAGAAACACTCCATCATGAGGTGGTGCCAACTTTTAGGGTAGAATTCCAGTAACACTTACATTGTCTTACAGAAAAGCTGTTCCTCAACCACAGCCTGAGGCTGGCTTCTGACCTGTTGCCTCATAAGTACATGCCATTGGTCACCAGGGACACTGGTTAGAGTGGGGTGACTCACTTAACCTATCCTCACTACTAGTAAACAAATTCTAACTACACTTAGCTTAGTATGGTAAGTGGAATCAAGCACCTAATTAACCGAGAAATGGTGACGCTTCTGGAGTCAAGTTTACATAAGTTAGGGAGCCCCATTTTGGGGGGAGAAGCATGAGGTGATGAGTAAGAAGATGATGTGCCATCCAAGGACAGTGTGATTTTTATTTAGAGCTTCGGGACTTAATGAGCCTCATCCAAGAACTTTCAGTAAAAATGGTTCTGTTTTTTTTTTTTCTTTTAAAGTACCTTTAAGTAGTAAGAAAAACTCATATAACTGTTAGAACTAGCAAGATGTATCTGTACAAAGCAAAGAGAAAAATTGAGGTGGATCAGTAAATAAATTGTGGTTTGATTGGCTTGGGTATATAAAATTCTGGAAGCTTAGCCAGGCGCCAGTGGCTCACTCCTGTAATCCTAGCTACTCAGGAGGCTGAGATCTGAGGAACGTGGTTCAAAGCCAGCCGGGACAGGAAGACCTTGAGACTCCTATCTCCTATGAACCACCAGAAAACCAGAAGTGGTGCTGTAGCTCAAGTGGTAGAGCGCTCACCTTGAGCTGAAGAGCTGAGGGACAGTGCCCAGGCCCAGAGTTTAAGCCCCATGACCAACAAAAAAAAAAAAAAAAAAAAATTCTGGAAGCTGAAAATACACAATTTTAAACTAATAAGTTTTTACATGATCAGGGGACAAAAGCCTAGCATTTTAAGATATCTGTAAAACTGAAGAAAATGCCTGTGATTATTAAATGAGTGTTATTTAATCAGTTCTTCTAAGTAGTTATTTTTAAAATTTCAAGTTTTTCTAACAAAAAGCATGGCAGGAGGTGTGATTCAAGCGGCAAAGTGCTAGCCAAGCAAACAAATCAAGGACAAGGCCCTGAATTCAACCCCCCCCCCCCCCCGCCGCCAGTACTACAAAAATAAATAAATAAATAGAATTCGAACCTTTGAAAATAACAGTGGTTACATAACCAGATACTACTCCTGTTTGCATCAAAATTTTAGATTCATTGTCACTGAAATAAAAAGATGTGAAAAAGAACCATCATACTGAAAAGTTTTTAATGGAAAAGAAAATTATGTAAAAAAATATGATTAGGCCACTGTTGAGTGAGAAAATAGAGCAGAGGTTAGAAATGTTAGAAAGCATTTGGGGTCCATCAGTGACTAGCAAGCAAGAGAGAAAAGATCTATTGGGAAATGAAGGATTCCAAGATAATAGGAAGCCCACCTTACCTAAAGCACTGGCTTTCTTTTATTTTATTTTAATCTTTTTTTTGGGGGGGGTCTGGTCCTGGGGCCTGAATTCTGGGCCTAGGCGCTGTCCCTCAGCTCTTCAGCTCAAGGCTAGCGCTCTACCACTTGAGCCACAGCGCCATGGTTTTTTTCTTTTTGCTTATGTGGTGCTGAGGAATCGAACCCAGGGCCTAATGCATGCAAGGCAAGCGCTCTACCACTGAGCCACCTTCCCAGCCCCTGGCTTTCTTTTCTGTATGATATTAGGCATTAATTTGATTCCCTGTTTGTACCAGTCTACTTCCCATGAAAAATAGGATATACCTGTTTTGAAGCATTTAGAAGAGACTGGAATATCCATAGTCTGAGTATATGTAGTGCTGAAACAAGTCTGAGTAGCCACTATATCATGGAATTGAAAGTGGTTTTTAGTTTGGATTTGTTTTGTTTTTTGGTGCTGGTATTGGGGCTTAAACTCAAGGCCTGGGCAATGTCCCTTAGCATTTTCAATCAAGGCTAGTGATTTACCGCTTGAGCCACAGCTCTATCCAGCCTTTTGGTGGTTCATTGGAGATACAAATCCAAAGGAATTTCCTGACCACCGTGACTTTGAACCACAATTCTCAGATCTCAGCCACCTGTGTAGCTAATATTACAGGTGTGAACAACTGGTGCCCAGCAAAAGTTATATAGATATAATCACAATAGTCATACCAGAAGATTTTATATGGTTAGTGCAATCACAGTTCAAGAGTCTTAAGACTACCTACTCAAGTCCATAGAGCTCTGACAGATCACCATAGAAAACAATGGCATGTGAAAATGCTAATTTTATATGACAGTGAAAACACAGAGAACAGTGATGTAAACTAACTACACTCCCTACTACCCAGCAAAACGTTTATTAACTATGTTTTTGCGTACTTAATCTGTTTGAAGTTCAACTGTTTCAAATGTAAAGAAAATTGTTTTTAAGCCCTTAATCTACATAAATAAATGTTTTTCAAAGGATGTTAGTTTAACATTTTTTGTCTGTGAAGTGGCTATAGTTTTAAACAGAAATATAAACCTCATAATGAAAAGAAATTAAACCAATTATATATATTTTTTGGCGAAGGGGGTCCAGTCGTGGGGTCTGAACTGTGGGCCTGGGCGCTGTCCCTCAGCTCTTCAGCTCAAGGCTAGCGCTCTACCACTTGAGCCACAGCGCCACTTCCGGCTTTTTTCTTTTTGGTTATGTGGTGCTAAGGAATCGAACCAAGGGCCTCATGCATGCAAGGCAAGCACTCTACCACTGAGCCACCTTCCCAGCCCCCAATTATATTTTTGCTTTGGGACTCTTCATGTTCAGGACTGCAGAAGCCACCTTAAATTAGCTTCAGCAGAAAGAAAATTTACTCCCTTCAAAGCTGAGAAGTGTGGGTGAAGGACAAGACTAGTACCTCAGTGTCATTGGCTGGTATTCTATTATTATTATTATTATTATTCACTCTACTGTGGATAAGCTTTCTCTATGAAGCCAGGGAATGAAGTCCTCAGCCAGGCTAGTACTGGGGTTTGAACTTAGCCTCATGCCTGGTAGGCTGGAGCAATAGTGTAGAGCCCTACTTCCACCCTGTTTTTCATTGGGTAGTTAGAGGATTGGATCTCACTTCCTGCATGCCTGAGCTGCTGTCAACCTACACAGGCTTCCCATCATTGCGGAGATCACAGACACATGCCGCTTTGTCCAGCTTCCCTTCATGGAGATGATCTTATGGACTTCCCTTTCCTGGTTAACTTGGATCCCAACCCTCCCAGCCTTACTCTCCCATGTAGCTTGGGAAGACAGGCACACACCCCTGCACCCAGCTGTGGATTGAGAGGGGATCTAGCTATCTTTTCTGTGTAGACTGACCTCAACCCATGATCTTTGTGTGCTCAGCCTGTCAGTACTTAGGATTATAGGTGTGAGCCACTAGCACCTAGCTCTACTGCTAGTTCTGCCACTTGAATGAAAACACCACTTTGGCTCTATAACTCATAGCTTATTTCTGCAGAAACATTCTGATTTTGGCCTACTTGAGTTCTGTGCCCTCTCTTGAGTCTCTCCAGAAAAAGAGCTTTCTATCATTGGCCTGGTCATGGGACTGAAATAAGGAAGTGGATAAGGAAAGTAGGAGGACAGCGGAGATTATGGTTGACACCCTTTGGTGGTTTACATGAATGGGAGAGGATGGGTGTCAGAATCAACCATGGGCACAGTATCATATCCAGTGTGCCCTGCTAAAAAATGCTTTCTGTTCTAAAATTGGGCCTTTTATATTTTTTACAACCTAGTAACTTCTTTGAAAAAACTGTATTCTATAATTTAAACTTAATGAGTTTGAACTTACACTTTAAAATTTTTGCTTTCATTAAGAATTTTATTGGTAGCTGGACACCTATGGATCATGCCTGTAATCCTAGCTACTTAGGAGGCTGAGATTAAGAATTGTGGGTTGAAACCATCCTGGACATGAAAATTTGTACAACTTCTATCTCCAGTTAACCACCAAAAAGCCAGAAGTATAGCTGTGGCTCAAATGGCAAATACTATCTTTGAGCAAAAAGTCTAAGGGACAGCACCTATGCCCTGAGTTCAAATCCTAGGACCCCCCCCAACCAGACACACAAAAATTGTATTGCTAATATTAATGTCACCTATTAAATATGTAGTTACCCTTTTAAATTCATTGTAATCAATAAAGATTGAATTTTCTGGAAAATACACATATGAATATAGAACTTGATATATTTTTCTGTTTTTTCTGATATACTTTTTTAATAACTTGTGTGTGTGTGTGTGTGTGTGTATGTATTGCACCGTACCACTGAGCCACCTTCTGAGCCCCGATATGTATGTTTTTAAAATAGAAAGACACTTAGGTTTTTAGAATTTTATTTGTTTTTGTGTTACTGACATTTCAAACTCAAGGCTTCACATTTGCTAGGCAGGTACTCTATCATTTGAGCCACATCCCTAACACTCCCATTTCCAGCATTTAGTATGAGGTGTGTTTCTTTTGGATTTGGGAGAGTTAAACTTTAGGCTGGTAGCTTACAGTAGGAGTCTCCTCCAACATGTCCTAAAAGTCCTTTGTGTGAATAACAAGTTAAAATGAAAAGTTCACATAGTGTGATATCAGGGAAGAGCACTTGTGATTGTAACACAAGAAATCCAGCTTCTGTTCCTCCTCATAACCAGGTGGAAATGAGGGGGGTGCTGTGAGTTTTATCATTGGTGTTAATATTTATGTAGACCTTTTCATAAAATGCTTCACTGGGTTATTGTAGTTTCTTTTTTTGTTTGTTTTTTTGGGTCCGGTCATGGGGCCTGAACTCTGGGCCTGGGCGCTGTCCCTCAGCTCTTCAGCTCAAGGCTAGCGCTCTACCACTTGAGCCACAGCGCCACTTCCAGCTTTTTTTCTTTTTGCTTATATGGTGCTGAGGAATCGAACCCAGGGCCTCTGGCATGCAAGGCAAGTGCTCTACCACTGAGCCACCTTCCCAGCCCCCGTCCTTTCCCTTTTTAAAAAATGTTCTTTTTAATTTTTTTTTAAGTTTGTTTGTTTGTGTGGTACTGAGGAGTCAAACCCAGGGCCTCATGCATACTAGGCAAGCACTCTACTACTAAGCCACATTTGCCACCTCCCTGTGTTTTTTTGCTCAAGGCTAGCATTTTACCACTTTGAGTCACAGTGCCACTTTAGGTGTCTGGAGGTTAATTGGAGATAAGAGTCTCATAGACTTTCCTGCATGGGCTGGCTTTGAACTGCAGTCCTCAGATCTCATCCTCCTAAGTTGCTAGGATTACAGGTGTGAGCCACCGGCACTAACCCAGAGGAATATTATTTAACTTTTTAAAAAATGGGAGGAATTCTGACATTTACTGCAATATGGATTAAACCTTCAGGACGTAACATGAATAAAATAAACAAGTTACAAAGGAACAACGGGATGGAGGAGGAAGTGGAACAGACAATGTAAACACTGGCAAAGATGTGGAGAACCTGATATCCTTATACATCATTTTATGACTGAAAAGTAGTGCAGCCACTGTTGACAGTTCCTCAAAAAGTTCACCAGAATTACCATATGACCCAGAAAGTCTGCTACTATGTATATAGCCAAGAGAATGGAAAACATATGCTCACATAAAACTTGTGATTCAGATGTTCTCAGTAACATCATTTGTAATGACAAAGAAGTAAACAACCACCCAGATGTCCTGTGCCTGATGATGGTGAAGCACGACATGCCACGTCTCTCTGATGGAGGAAAAGCAGTGAGCTACAGTAGACCCGCCTTACTTGTGGCTCTATTACATGTGCTTTTGAGCAAGATGGGTCACATTCATAAAAAAAGCAAAAGAAATACTACAAACAAAAAAAATTCCAATTTTTGCCTGTGCCTTTCGCAGCTCAGTTGATGCAGAGAAATACTTGTGGATGCCATGTTTTCATCAGTTTTTGTGTTTAAAATGTGTGCGATCTGCTGACCGGACCTCTGCCCTTCACCTTATGAAAAAATCTGCCTCCCATAAAGCAACGAGTGCTGAAAAAGCAAGGCTAACGTTAATGTGATTAACATAAGTGGTAAAAGGAAATTGCAGATTGGTGGAAAGGTGGCAGGTCTTTCGTGGAAATTGGGAGCCTGAACTCCAAACATCCTGAGCATTCAGGGTTTTTCCTCAATATTAGGTTTGAAACCTAAGATATTTTTACCCTTTTTAAAGTAGCACTTATTTTTACAGGGTCCTGTACGTTATTTGTTTGAGTTGTCATAGATACTAATATAATTTTGGTGTGGTATTGAAGCAAGGCCTTCTAGTAATTTTTTCCTTTATTTTGAAGTAGAGATGTAAGACGAACTCTATAATATAGTAAAGAGAAACAAAGAGAAAAAAAATTCCTGCCAAAAAAAACAAAAACAAAAAACAGTAGACAGTGCCCAGTCTACTGCTCCAGTTGTTTGCTTCTATGGGAAGTGAGGAAGATGATGGCTTCATGGTAGCATTTTATGGTAAAAAGAGCATCAGTCCAAATCTGGAAATGCTTTGTACAGTTTTCAAAGTCTCACTGTGCTGGGTACCTATAGCTACCTGATAGGTGTCATCCACAATTATCTGCAGAGCAAATGAGTTTACATTTGACAGCAAGGGAGCAGGACCAATGTTTCTTTCTGTTTAGTAACACACCAGAGATAATAAAATATATAAGCTATGCCAGCACTGTGGCTCATGCCTGTAATCCTAACTACTTGGGAGGCTGAGATCTGAGGATCCAGTTCAAAGCCAGCCCAGGCAGGAAAGTCCATGAGACTTTTATCTCCAATTAACCACCAGAAAACCGGAAGTGGTGCTATGACTCAAGTGGTGGGAGCACTCACTCACCTTGAGCTAAAGAGCTGAGGGACAGCACCCAGGCCCAGAGTTCAAGCCCCACGACTGACATAAATAAATAAATAAATAATAAATACAAGCTTTAATTTTCAGTATCTAAAAGTAATGAGAAGACTATACATTTTCTTATTTATTTTAGTGATAATAATTCCTACTTGTTGAATCTCCTAAATTCATAATAAGATCAAAGAGCCTGAGACAGAAAAAAGCCTAGTAGTTTTTCAGACATGGTTATCGAGACATAACTGGGCCTGGGAATGTGGCTTAGTGGTAGAGTGCTTGCCTAGCATGCATGAAGTCCTGGTTTCGATTCTTCAGATTAAACAGAAAAGGCCAGAAGTGGTGCTGTGGCTCAAGGGGCAGAGTGCTAGCCTTGAACAAAAGAAGCTCAGGGCCAGTGCTCAGGCCCCAAGTTTAAGCCCCAGGACTGGCAAAAAATAAAAATAAAATAACAGCTCTAGCTCAGTTATTCTTCCTTGTCTTCTTATTTTCTCCCTAGTAGATTCCTTGACTAATTTGCTTTGTTGGTAGAAGTAGAGGCTGAGTGCTAGAGTTTCTTGATTGAAGAAGTGATTTGCTGGCACAAATACTATTAATAATGAGGCACAAACACTATTAATATTGAGGCCTATCTGAATGATTATGTTAATGACACTATGTAAAATCTCATTTGGGTTTACTCTGTCACATCCTGCAAAGTTGTAAACTATGCAAACCATTCTCGGCTTTCTTTATTGTGCCTAGGGAATTTTTGAAATGTCATTGTTAAATTTCTTACCAACTCATACTTTTTTTATATTCTCTAGAGAGGAAACGTGTAAGTGAAAACACTTACAAACATTAAGAACCCTCTTCAGCAGAATTTCCATCTAGCCTTTGTCTTAGCCATTCTTGAACTCCTTTCTGTTTTCTGAATTTTTCCCGGAAACGTCTCTTTCCATTTCTAGCTCTCCCCTCTCTGTACCTCATGTACACTGGAGGCTGCAGAGAGTTTAGCACTGGCCATGCCAGACTCTGCAGATCACAGTTCCGTCTATAGTTGGGTCTCCATGGAAATGAGAAGTAGAAAGTGCTGAAGGAGCATAGTATGTAAGGGCTGGCAAAGAAAAGAGTGCTGCTGTGGCCTCTGCAGGAATAGCACTTAATCCCCGCGGTGCTGGAAGCCAGAGACAATCACGCTGCGGTGGAGGCAGGAGACTCCTTCACTTAGGGACACAGACTTGGCAGATTCGTTAGCAGCAGCATTCTAAGATGAGCCTAGTTTACAGTTTGTAAGCGCTCTGCTTCAATAGTTAAACCTTTAAACATTTTCTTCTCTTTCAGGAGGCCCGATGCACCAGTGCCTGATGGTGAAAAAGAAAAACCTGTAGAAGAAAGTTCAGATAGTGAATCTTCTTTTAGCGACTAAGCTGGATTTTCCTAAGAGTTAAGTGTATGTACAGATGAACTGGTAGAGTCTGTGAGAGAGTCTGTACTCTCTCAATCATAGAAATGTAAAACAACCCTATACCTCACCAACCTTCCTCTCTGTTAAAAATAATAATAAAGCTTTTATAATCCCCCAGGATATCTTGTGATCAAACTTAAGGGCTCTAAAATGAAAAACCAAGTAACCTAAATTGCAATTAATGCTACAAATACTAAGATGGTATATTCTAGACGTGCAAGGATAATTTTAAAATTAAATTGGGCTTTTTGTAAAAATAAGTGAATTATTCACTGTGAATATTTTAACACAAAAAGTGTTACATACATTTGTATCAGAAGAATTCTGGCAAAAAAAAAATACTGTATTGAAATTTTCCATGACAATCTGAGACATTATTAGGGATATGAAATTTTATTGGCAGTATTTACCAGCATATATTGCTTTTTTTTTTTTTTACCACTTTCTCAGTAGTTCACATATTATCAAAGTGAGATTTTTAATTTATTTTTATTATCAAACAAATACTGAAGATAGCTCCAATATGGTTGTAAGTGAGCAAACATCATTGGTAAATCCTTTTATTGCCTGAACAACAACAAAAGTAATTTAAGACCTGGCATTAGTTCATCCTAAAGCAGTGGGGAATGCAGTTAGATCACAGAGAGGAGTCTTCTTCATGGATCCACCTCGGGAGGATACACCCCAGGTCTCCTTTACTGTGGCAGAGAAGCCGTTTTGCCCGGCATGGAAGGTTTGAAGGAAAACAGAGATGCAAGCGCCTTCAGCACTGTCACCCAGACTTTCTCTCACGTGTTAGAGTTCTACTCCTTTGCTCTCAGGGCCTTCACTTCAGCAAAGACACTGGTGCTGCATCTTTTATCTCCTGTGCTGCTCCTCCATTCTTCCATTTACACCTCGAGTCTGATTCTCAGCACAATTGCCCTGTGGAAAGAAAGACTACCAAGAAGGTTTCTGACTTTACCACGTGCTTAAAGTTGGCTGATTTGCCTTACACTTCGTTTTTCAAGGCTTGCAAGCTGTTAATGAGTGCTAGTCCATCCCAAATTCTTTCTCCTATTTATCATCCAGAGACAAAGCTGCTGGGTACCTCACTGCTTCTCATCACAATCCACCACAGGTGAGATTCAGAGAAATGAGGATATACACCAAAAGAAATCAGTGTTCTTCTTATCCTAGCACTAAAGAGAAATGATCCAGTTCCAGAATCCCACCTTCAGGATCTTCTCTGCAGAGTCCCTCTCCGGGCCCAAAGCCAACCCTGAGACAAACAATTGACTGCAAGTAATTTGTGATGTGACCCTAGCAAGCGGGAAGAATAAGAGGGAGGAAAATTCAACGGAGAGGTGTGATTGCTGTTGAGGGCACATGGGACTGAATTCATGACCAGCACCTGCTTAGAAAGGAGCACTACTTCCCAGAACTTTCCACCTGAAGGCACAGAATCCTGAGTATTGGTCTGCTAGCCTGGGCCCATTGGTATAGAGGGGCCCCTTCACACAGACCTAGGGTGACCACGGCCTTGGAAACAACACTAAGGAGGCAAAGAGGGAACTTACTTGAGGTAGGTTCCTCATCAAAAGTTAAGTTCAGAACTGGGTAGAAATCTCCCCTACATCTGTGGCTGAAATCCAAAGAAGGTCTGAGGATATGTTTCTTGGTACAACAAATATCACCTACAGACAGTGTTGCTTCTAAAACCCCAGAATGACCCGTGCTTACCTTGATTTAAAATGTGCAGTTTTCAAGCTGAGAATGTGGCTTAGTGGTAGAGTGCTTGCCTAGCATGCATGAAGCCCTTGGTTTGATTCCTCAGTATCACATAAACAGAAAAAGCCGGAATGGTGCTATGGCTGAAGTGGTAGAGCACTAACCTAGAGCAGCAGAAGCTCAGGGACAGTGCTCAGACTCTGAGCACAAGCCTCAGGCAAAAAAGTAAAAAATAAATGCAGGGTTTTTCTTTGTAGATACACAAAGGCCACACTCAGAACTTTTTCATTAAAACTTATAGATTAAAAAAAAAACTTCCAAGACTAAGCTAAGGGTAAACAATGAGCAAATCCATATCTTTATAGTCTGTTAAAATTATAAGACAAGTTTAAATGTTTCCTTTTACACATACCCCACAGAGTTTCTGTGAAACTTTTATATCTGAACTAGAGCATGGCTCCTGTTAAAAAGCAAATTGTGCCCATGTGCTCTAGAAGCATGCCCAGGCAGCATAATGGGTAGTCAAATACTTTTGTTTCACAAAAACAAGCTTGATTGTCAGAATCCAGAGAGATCTTCAATTCCCACTATTTATCTCTGTGTATTAATAATTGTTTTTGTCTTCCAAAACATTCATTTTTTAATCTTTCCTATTGGTAAGATTGGCAAATGAAAAGACTGGCACTACAAGTAGCGTCACTGTAACTTGGTTTTGGATAAATATCTTAAATTAGATATTTTTCTTCCTGCAGAACACGTGTCTCCATTTCTTTTCCTCCCCAGACAATATTGCTTCAGATGAGCAAATAAATTTGAAAAGGAAAAAAAAAAGAACCTTTATTTTACAACAACTACAATTTACTGGGCATCTGTATATACTTATATTCAAATCGATATAATTGTATTATACATTTCAGAATTAAACACTTTGTTTGGTCACTGTTAACATTGCAAACTTTATTTTGAAATAAGTTCTGAGAAATAGAACAATAATGTTTGTTAAGACTAGAAGAAATCTTAGCAAGTATCCAGTCTGCTTGACTCATTGTTACAAAGGAATTAACTGAGGCCCAAAGGAATTGACTTGCTCAAGGTAAGAAAAAAAGGTATTTATTTATAAAATGAAAATAGTTAATTTCTCAGTAATAATACTCAAGACTTGAGTATCCATACAAAAGCAAAGTACTCACAATTTCAGTAATTTTATTCGTTTTACATTGTAATCTACAAAGTGAAGTAGTGAGAAAATCTTTTTTTTCACATAACCTTAACATTTTAGGGATGATCTCAGTTTTTCACTTGCACTGAAATTTATCATGTAACAAAGCTGCTGCTTCATATTCTCTGGGGCTTCTTAGCCATCCTGGTTTATTCTTTGCTGTACACTATTTCTAGCTTTCAAAAATCACACCTTAGAACATTTGCAGAAACTGGAGGCATAGGGTTTTTTTTTGTTGGCCTGGGCACTGTCCCTGAGCGTTTTTTGCTCAAGGCTACAGCGCTACCACTTGAGCCACAGCTGCTTTTTTTGGTGATTAATTGGAGATAAGAGTCTCAGGGACTTTCCTGTCTAGGTTGGCTTCAAATGCCATCCTCAGTTCTCAGCCTCCTGAGCAGCTAGTCCCTGGCACTTGCTGCAGTCTTACGTTTTAATCCAGCTTGTCATTTCATGTCTTTTGACTGAAGACATTAACATCAGTGTTAGTACTGAGAAATGTCATGATTTGTTTTTTGTTTTTGTATTTTGGGGGGTTTTTTTGGTGGTGGGTCTTGAACTCTGGGCCTGGGTGCGTCCCCTGAGCTTTTCAGCTCAAGGCTAGAGCCACTTCTGGTTTTCATTGGAGATAAGAGTCTCATGGTCATTCCTGCCTGAGCTGGCTTTGAACTGAGATCCTCAGATCTCAGCCTCCTGAGTAGCTAGGATTATAGACATGAGCCACCAGCGCCCAGCTGGTTTGTTGTTTTTATGATACTTGCTTCTTTCATACTCCTCCTTTGCTAACCTATTCATTATTGGAATTTATTCTCTTCTTTATTTTCCTGTTTTCATTTGTCTTCCTCTTCTGACACTTCCATTTTTGATAAAGAAAAGGAATGGGTCTGCTTACACAACCTGTTTTCTTATCCTTCTGGAATATAACTTGTTAATATCTGAATTATTTCTCTTATATAGATGCTTTAGTCCTATGCATTTCTCATATACACTGACATCACAATAACCATACATTTCCTCAAGTGCTTGCTTCCCTTCAAACGTCTCTCTAGTTAAAATTGATTGGGAGAAGAAAGGATCTCATACCATTTCTTTAAGTAAAAGAATTCAATTTCCAAATGTATTGACTATATGATCCAAGTGGACCAATAAAGCAATAATAGTAATAGAAACCCAAAACACTACTAGAGATAAGTTATTAGGCAGAAATTTAGTTGTTGCTTTTATAGATCAATAAGTACAGAAACATTGTGAGCATTAAACTTCCAACATACAGGTAGATGTCATCTGTAACTTGGGAATAGACAGGCTATTCTCCTCGCCCCCTCCCCCCAAGTCCTAGGGCTTGAATTCAGGGCCCAGGCACTGTCCCTGAACCCTCTCTGTGCTCGATGCTAGCACTCTACCACTTGAGCCACAGTGCCACTTCAGGCTCTATGTGGTACTGAGAAATCGAACCCAGGGCTTCATGCATGCTAAGTAAGCACTTGACCATTAGGCCACATCCCCAGCCTTCTTCCTTCTTTTTTTTTGCTGGTCATGGGGCCTGAACTTTGGGCCTGAGCGCTGTCCTTCAGCTCTTCACTCAAGGCTAGCTCTCTACCACTTGAGCCACAGTACCACTTCTGGCTTTTTCTGCTTATTTGGTACTGAGGAATGGATTGCAGGGCCTTGTGCATACAAGGCAAGCACTCTACCACTGAGCCACCTTCCCAGCCCCTCTTCCTTCCTTTTATTTGTGCTAACAATTATGATTTTAGGGCAGAGATTTTCAATATTGACTGTAATTAGTAGGCCAAGAGATTTTAGTCAACAAGGTTATAGCATTCATTGTGGAGGGGGGAAAATGGGACAAATCAAAGTCAAAATAAGTTTCTTCTGCTGGAGCTATTATTACATGAGAAGGAACAGCTTGTTCACTAATTGCACAGATGAAGTCATTTTTGTTGTAGCAATATGAAAGGCCTAACGTGAGACTCTTCCAGCTCCATCTCTCTCTGCAATATAACTGGTGACAGGTATTTAAGAACTGCCTGTTCTTCCAAAAGGTTCACTGTCTGCTGCGTATTATCAGACTGTCTATATACATAAACTGCTCCAACTGCTTTGAACTACAACAGACTCGGTGTGGTAGGCACGCCTCAGATCGTAACTCTCCCCTTTGGATTTCATAGTCATAATTTAACGTTTTGAATTG